AGCTGTAGATGCTGGCTGCTCCGGCTGCGGTTCATTGGGCAGTCTATGCAGCTGTGCCAAATGAGCAAGGGCGGGGCTTAGCGCAAATGACTGCTTGCGGATCTGCCCGCTCTGGTCGTAAACATTTTTGCGGCCATAGCTTGCGGCAAGCAACAGTAAAGGCATGATTCACACATGGCACGCAACACACATAACAGCAGCAAAAGAGAACAAAGCAAAAGACGCCTTGAGCCAGCCTAGACCTGCAAGGCTGCGAAACTTGACCGATGCGGCATTAATGCTGGGCTGGGCCCCCGGAAAAACTACAACTGCTAAAGAAAATCTGGCGCGTGGGCGGGGCTGGGAACTCACTTCTGTTTCCAAGGCTTGTGTGGAGGAGGCTCAGGCGGGGGACTTGACATAGGATTCGAGTGTCTACTACTGTGGGTAGAAGCGTCACTGACGCTGGAGATTAAGAAGCACGTTTTCGTTGTGGCTTCGGGGCTAGCCTTGGCCCGCTTCGTCTTTCTCTGCCTCCTTTTTTTAACGGGTGCAAATTGCGCGTATCGCAGTGCGCGCGCATGCTGAGCCTAGGCTTCCAATGCCTAAAAAACAAAAGCAGTCTGAAGATCCGGCTGGGCTGGCTCACTTGGAGACGCGAAGCGCAATCATTTTTTCTTGGACTTCGGGGCTGCAAAACAATGAGGTCAGCGAAACCCGGGCTTCTTTTTTCTCAATTTTGTGTATAAAAAAAGAGAAGAAAAACAAGGTTTCCGGGGTCTCAATTTTCCAAAGTAAAAAAAAGCCAAACGAAATCCAGATTTCCGGGGTCTCAACTCTCCAACAGTGAGAAAAAAACAAAATCCAAGTTTCTGGGGTGCCAATTTTCCAAAGTTAAGCAAAAATCCTGATTTCGGGGGTCTCAATTTTCTACAATGGAGGAAAAACACAAAATCAACAATTTCGCTTGTTTCGGGTACAAACAAAACGAGCAAGGCTAAATGGAAATCTCAGAACTGGAACTGCTTGACGGTTCATGCCAAAGGCCTTGCATGTGACCTTGTCACATTGAGGTGTGCTCGATGGTCATGTAGAGGTTCCGCATCTGGCTGATGCTGAGAAGGATCGGTACAGTTCCTTGTTCAAGGACGTCGATGATTGATCCCAGTCTTGGTCTGTCCAACCGGCGTAGGTAGGCTCTATGGATGGTGCAGTCTGCTGGATGGCGGGCTGCTCCGCCGTCTTCTCTGCGGTGGCTGCGAACGTCTTGGATTTTCCTTTCTCCTGTCCGCTCTTTCCTTTGCCACTCTCATAGGATGGATAACCTTTGTTTCCATCATAGGGATATTTGAATTTTGATTTTCCTTTCTTTCCCTTCTCTCCTTTGCTTTTTCCCCAATACGCCTGGTCGTAGGGATCATAGTTTTCGTTGGCCATATTGGCCTTTCCGCCAGAACCGCTTTTTCTGAAGGGTTTAAAGCCACCTCGTTGGTGACTGCCCTTTTTGTTTCCTGATTTTCCTTTTACTTTTCTCTTCTTGAACTTGAAGTTCCGCCCCGACACTTTTCTTGCTATGAACGCATCGTTCTCCTCGAGGACCCAGAACGTCTCTTCATCGTTGTTTGACATGAATCCTTCAAGTCCTTCTTCATCCTCAACCCAGAAGCCTTCTTCTCCTTCGTATTCACCTTGTTCGATGATGAAGAATGTGTTGCTTCGGTTGCCTCCTTGAGGTCGGATGGATGGATCTTGGATTGATGTCCTCGTCGTGATGAAGAGTTCATGGTAGTGCGTCTTCAGCATCTCATAGGAGTAGTTTTCTAGTGAGATGTTTCTCAATGACATTGCACTTGTCAGTCTCTCTCGTTGCTGATCTGACAGCTCACTTTGAATAATGAAAAACTGTGCAATGAGATTATCCCCGAAGGGAAATGCGTCCCGCTGTCTGTCCTGCATTCCTTGGATATACTGTCTGAGGACTGTTGGATCGTCCTCGTTGAGCAGGGCTGGAGGCGGTGCTCGAACACCGGCTGCTTGCTGATGTCGAGCAATTGTTCTTGCATTTGCGTACTGTACGGACTGTCGAAATGATGGGGACTGTGCCGTGAAAACGGGCATCAAGTCCATCCATGCTGCCTTCAATCTCATAAGAAGGATTTTGGATTTTGATGTAAAAATGAGGAAAATGGTTGAAGAAACTGAGGAGCCTGTACAGATACACGTTGGTCGCACCTTTCAAAAAGTACTTCTTCAGCGTGTTCTTGAAATAGTTGACTCCTTCATCAGGATCTTGCAAAAGGTTGTTTTGGAGGACCGCCTTGTACATATATGCATCACCGGTTAATCTGCTTTTGAGCAGAGGTCCTCTCTTGGGTGCTTCCACCGTTGTGATGGTCACCCAGTCGTCCACGAGTTCTTCATACCTGAACCAGCTGACTTTTCCGTCGTACGATGGCGGCTGCTTGGCAGTCATCGATGAATTTAGTGTTTCCTCCGTATAGCCTTGATTTTTTGCCATACTTGAATAGGCTTCCACGAAGCCTTCTCCATCGGATGACATCTTCCCTTGGGTCTCTGCGGAAAACCCGCTCCGCTACCACTATTGAGGCCCACTGTTCCAGGCGCCTATCCCCGAACTGTGGTAGTAGAGGTCGGATCTATTCCGAAGAGAATCCAATATGCCACTGTGGATGATTGGAGGATGGACTGTCCCTGGTGGATTGTCTTGTGGATAATCCTGTAAGCGGCCTGCTAAGGTTCTTTTGCTTCACGCGATCATGAATGATGCGATGATATACAAAAGGGGCCTTGAGCCAAGTGTTGCGGGAGATCAATTGGTCTGAGAACCAAACACACCCCTCCCCCCCCCCTCTCCCCCGCCCCCTCCCCCGCCCCCTCCCCCTGTGTTTGGTTCTCAGACCAATTGATCTCCCGCAACACTTGGCTCAAGGCCCCTTTTGTATATCATTGCATCATTCATGATCGCGTGAAGCACAAGAACCTTAGCAGGCCGCTTACAGGATTATCCACAAGACAATCCACCAGGAACAATCCATCCTCCAATCATCCACAGTGGCATATTGGATTCTCTCCGGAATAGATCCAGGGACCAACACAACAACCTGTACTACCACAGGGTTCCCTTCAAGGATGGGTTTTGGGGCAGTGGGCTTCACCCCCTTCCCCCTCCCCCTACTCCCCCCCTCCCCCCCCTACCCCCCCCCTCCCCCTCCCTCCCCTCCCCTCCCCCTCCCCTCTCCCCTTTCCCCCTCCCCCCCCCTCCCCCTCCCCCCCCCCCCTCCCCCCCCCCCCTCTTCTGTCTCTCTCTCTCTCTCTCTCTTCTCTCTCTCTCTCTTCTCTTCTTCTCTCTCTCTCTTTTTCTCTCTCTCTCTTTCTCTCTCGCTCTCTCTCTCTCTCTCTCTCTCTCTCTCTCTCTCTCTCTCTCTCTCTCTCTCTCTCTCTCTCTCTCTCTCTCTCTCTCTCTCTCTCTCTCTCTCTCTCTCTCTCTCTCTCTCTCTCTCTCTCTCTCTCTCTCCGTCTCTCTCTCTCTCTCTGTCTCTGTCTCTCTCTCTCTCTCTCTCTTTCTCTCTCTCTCTCTCTCTCTCTCTCTCTCTCTCTTTCTCTCTCTGTCTCTCTCTCTCTCTCTCTGTGTTGTTGGCCATGTGTCCTTCACAATTGCTGTAAGGTGCTCTTCTTATGTCTCCAAACGTTTACCAGAACTTGCTGTTGCTGATCCTTGTCATAAAAAATACAAAGGGCCTGCCTAACAGACTTTGATCGCCAAGCCGCTGGTTGTCTGAAGGAAAATGCTTGCGAACCAGCATGCGGACCAAGTGGGGTCCACATACCGCAATGCGATACCAGGGGAGAAAATTCTGCAAATGTAGCTGCACTGTGGCATCGCCAGGCATATGTCTTTCAAGAAGCCGAATGTCTCGAAAGATGTAGCTCTGAAGGAGCTGAAGGAACGCCTGGCCAGATTGTCTTTCCCAGCAACATTTCGGCGAACGCGGAACAACGAAAATTTCTCCGCCAGCCTGGCCGACTGCCTCTGGCAAGGGCCAAAAATCGATTGCCGTGACGGCACTCTCCTGCACAATGCCGTGCAGGCGGGCAAACCTGAGTCAAGTAGCAGGGCGTTGGAGCAAAGTTCACCGGCATGCAGGCTAACCGTGTAGCCTGTTGCAAACAGCTTAATGCAGCACTGCAGAAAACGGTTGTTGCCAAATGCAGAGCACGTCGCCAACACCTTCCCAGAACTTTGCACGACGCCGTCATGGCCTGCCAACCGTGAAACCGGCAGACAAGCTCTTGGTTGGGCGAACCTCACTTGGGTTGTGTGCTATGACGAAGACAGCAGACAGTAGCTTGGCTGACAGGCTCAATGCGTGATTGAATAGCGGTACTTGCCTGACAGGCTCAATGCGCGATTGTTTTCCTGTTGCCTCGATTTGCGCTAGAACGTACCTTTTGTTTCCGACGGATCAGGACACAGCTGCAAAATACCAATGTATCTCCACCTTTGACATGACGTTACATTTATAGTTGCATGTAGATAACATGAGCTCGCACCTCAAAAGGTTCGTCGGCCCCCAGCCAGCCATCATCTTGTTGAGCATCCAATGCCACGGCCATAAGCTTTTGCAATGGCTCGCCATCCATGTAGTGTTTTGGCCACGGCCATAAACTCGCCACGCCCTACGCCCCCCTGTGGAAGAGCTCGTGCCACCCGGCTGCAGCGCACAATGGGAAAGCGCACCTTCCAAGCAGCGCTGTCAATCTCCGAACTCTAGTCATTTAATTAAGCCGACATCGACGTCGCAAAGCAAAAGCTTCTGGCTTTGAAAGAAACTGTTGCAAACATGCACTAACTGCTACAATAACGTTGGCTGCAACTACTAGGGTGCAGCCAAGCAGGGCAGCGAGCAAACCAGCCGAATTAGGCTCGGCAAGTAGCGGATAAGACTAAACTCTGAAGCTCTGAATCAATTTCTCGATGCTTTCTGCAATGGGCCACCGACCACCAGGCAGCCCAAAGACCAAACGTCGCTGGCGGGCGAGGGTTTGGCACCCTGGCGCAGTTCGAGGATAACATGCCGCCTGCTACGACATAAAAAATGAATGCCACGTTACGTCTGCATCACCACAAGCGCAAAGCATCTGCGTGCAACCATCGGGCACGCAAAAACGAAAGGCTTCTCATGATGCATTGTGAAGCACATACCATACCACATCTTGCAACAGGCTCTCCGGGCATCCGGGTGGGGTCTATCAACATTGGCGGTTGCCTAATCATGACATGTCACAAGCCTCAAGCAATGGGAGATGCACGCCAAACTATGAAAGGCCCGTCACGGTGCCTTGCGGAGACCTCGCAACATGGACACATTTTGGCTACGTGACGTCCAAAACAGGAGCCACCAACAATGCCATTAAGAATCGGTCCCTAGAAAGTCCTTCACGGTGCGCTCAAGGACCCGTGAAAAGTGGGGCAAAGACCTGCAATATGAGCCGCCGCCAAAATACTTATGCGCGGAGCTGCAATACCTCCGACATCGTTTTCAAGACTCGCCTTCGTTTTTGATACGGTCAACACTCCGTCTCTCCTATCATGTGCAAACTGAGAGCTTTGGGGTGATAGCATTGGGGTCCAAGTCTGCTGCACCCAACCCACAACAACCCACAAGAGGCAGAACGTGTCAAACTACACTGCCTACGTCGGCCAAATCAGCGACATGCACCAGCAAGTCAAGTCAACCTGAAGAAACATGCAATGTCAAGGTTGGGGACGTCTGGCAGTGCGCCGGAGAGCACTGCAGAAAGCTGATTCCGCGTCGGGACTTTCCAGCCAGTGCATCGCTCCCAAACACGCATAGCAGTCCACCACCGGCTGGGTCTGTTGCCTGTTGCGCAGTTTCACCACGTGCGCTGCACTTTGGCAACCGCCCGAGCTTTAGCCGCCCGCGGCATCTCACGCCATCCCACGGAGAAAGGGTTAAAGTCTGAGAACTATGACTCACTCTAATGGACCCGCAGAAAAACTATTAGACCCGGCCACGGCCTCCAAGACCTCTGGGGACATCCACGGCACTGCTGACTGAGACAGCGCCTGGCCGGGAGAAAACTCAGAAATCGAAAAGGAATTCGAAAACCTTGATGCGACGACTGCAGCCAAAATTTGTGCGGCGGCTACAATGTTATAAGCCAAGGGGGGGGCAGCTCCCCGGGCACTGGTGCGTTGCCTTGGTTACCGGTACCACTGTCGCGCTGGTCCAACAATGCCAAGCCTGCCAAGCCGCCCTTCCCCCCCTGGCCGTCCCAGTCTGCGCGGTCTTCGGCGCAGAACCCGCGTTGGAGCCGCTTCGCAGCGCGACCAAGCCGAAGTCCTCAAACAAAAGCAATCTCTCACAAGGTCTGATTGCTGGAAGCTGGAAAGTCTTCAGACTCACGCGTCTAAGCAGCGGGCACACAAACGAATGGCAGCGCCCGGCCCCAGCAGCACGTTCCCACCTGCAAAGCTTGCCTTTCCACATAGCACATCGTGTATGCGCCCGGGTGTATCTGCGTCCGTCAAGTGATTGTGTCTGTGTGTCGTTTCTGCAATTGTCTTGCTTGTTTGCCTGCCTGCCCTGTTTGTTAAATGGTTTGTTCTTTCTGCGTCCTTCGTCCTTCCTGCCTTCCTTCCTTCTTTCCTTCCTTCCTTCTTTCCCTCCTTTCTTTCCTTGCCTTTCTTTCCTTCCTGCTTTTCTTTCTTTCCTTCCTTCCTTCCTTCTTCGCGCGTGTGTATTTTGTTTGTTTGTGCATGCGTTCGTCGGCACTTCGGTTTTGAGCGTGTGTCTGTGTGTGTGTGCTTGATGTATGTGTGTGTGGAGTCTCTGACCAACCCAGAGACCAACAGTTTCACCGCAGTGGGACTAGGAGCCGATTTGCCTATCCAGTCCAATGAAGCTACGGCGTTCCGGTGGATGAATGGTCTAATCAACCACTTGTATCTGATGCAAAGTCCATTTGGCCCTCTGGGCCTTTTCGAACTAGAGTGAAGCTATAGTCTCGCCAGTTGAACCCGTTGTAATGGAATCGAAGCCGGGCCCGGTTCAGCTCGAAGACTAGCACTCTCCCTCGGGAGTCTAAGTGTCTGGTGCGCGTGCGTGGGTTGCTTTGTGCTTTGCGTGCGTGGTTGTTGCTTTTGATGGGCTGGTATGTGCTTTGGTTGCGCTGCTCTGTGTGGGGTGCGTGCGTGGGTTGCTTTGTGCTTTGCGTGCGTGGTTGTTGTTTTTGATGGACTGGTATGTGCTTTGGTTGCGCTGCTCTGTGTGGGGTGCGTGAGTGGTTGTGGCTTTTGATGGGCTGGTAGTTGTTGGTGGTTGTTGCTTTTGATGGGCTGGTATGTGCTTTGGTTGTGCTGCTCTGTGTGGGGTGCGTGCGTGGGTTGCGTTTTGCTTTGCGTGCGTGGTTGTTGTTTTTGATGGGCTGGTATGTGCTTCGGTTGCGCTGCTCTGTGTCGGGTGCGTGCGTGGCTTG